TGGGTTAGGTTAGTCATGAATTAGTCTCCATTATTGTGCATCCATGGAGCTGTAACTTGCAGCTAATTATATGCATTACCAGAGGCAGGACCAGGAGAACAAGGAAACTTGTGTCGGGATAAACCAAGGAATAAATGAATGCAGCATTGTTCGGAAAGTTTCTACGGAAATTCTCCCCATTCGCTCGATGCCGCTATCCTTCCATCCCCAACTGGGCCACTGGGGCAGCTCGATCTACTGTCCCTAGCTGTGGTCCTTCTCCTTCTGCTGCTGCTAGTTCTGGCTCAGGCCCAAGCCCAGGCCCAGGCCCTGTTTTTCCTCCGTAGCTACGCATTAAAGTCAGAAAATTCATAAATGCCTGAGAGCGTTTCTCGTTTAGGTTGGAGTGTGCTGCCTCTAATAAGCACTTACTGCAGCAACAAGGATGGCAGCAGCAACAGCCACCAGGACTCTGCGGCAGGCACAAAGAAGCTGTCTTGGCTGTAGCTTCAATTTTAATGAAATTAAAGATTACTGAGCTCAGCCATCTGAGACAAGCGAGGCAAGTGGGCCAACTGTGGAAGTGGATGGAGAAGGAGACGGACAGGCAGCAGGGCGGCAGGGCGGCAGGGCTGCAGCATTCAAAGGGGTTTTGGTTCCCAGCACAAGCACAAGCACAGAGCAACAGTTGGGGGAGTTTTCCGAGGAGAACTTTAATAGCGTTAACTTTCCTAGCAGAAATTTAAAATGGCTAATGTTACCTTGGATAATTATACTAAGGGTAATCTGCTCATGCAAAATTAAACCTTACCTTTCCAATGGATAAGCAAATTATGCATGTTTTAGCATACGAGTAGATGAAAAAAAATATATATTTATGCTGTTGAATATTTTTCTATAAGAGAATTTCTGAGAATGTTTTCCGTTGGATGGATAACTTTTTTGTATTCACTTCTAAAACTTTTTGTTCGGATGAGTTTTCCATGAATTTTATTTCGATGCATGAACATTGCTGGGATGTTTGAATACCATAATTGTGGATTACTTTGCCCCATGCACTATGGTTTAATAACCCATATTTCCAGCATGAAGATACCAGAGAATATTCCAATTAAGTTTCCCATAACCAAGCATGAAATATAAAAATAGCTATTAATATTGTCTTTGCCACAACCCTCTCTCTCTCAAGTTCAGGTATTTTTTTGCATCTGTTTATTAGAATCAAGGAAGGGTGGTATAGAGTAACAGCAGGAGAAACAATTAGGAAGAAATTTAAGATACGTGGCAGTCCCGTAGGATATTCAGAAAACTAAAAAATTCACCACATTAATTTTTTTGCGCACTTTTCATTTTTATTTTTATACCCGTACCCAAAAAAGTTTAAGGGGTATATTAGATTTGTGGTAAAAGTGGATGTGTGTAACGCTGAGAAGGAAAATTTTCCGACCCCATAAAGTATATATATTCTTGATCAGCATCAGTAGCCGAATCGATATAGCCATGTCTGTCTGTCTGTCCGTCCGTCCGTCCGTCCGGCTTGTTAAGCGCCTGGATCTCAGAGACTATAAGAGTTAGGGTAACCAAATTTGGTTTCCAGGCTCATGTGATATCACACTGCTACTGTGTATTCAAATTTCGCCCCTCCGCCCACCAAAAACGAAAATGGGCAGGCACAATTTAAAGTACGATAAACTAAAAATACAGTATCGTAGAAAATGCCCATATCTACCAGATTGCCAAATCTGAATCAGATCGGATCATAATTATAGCCAGAATGAAGAAATTAATTTTCTGTTGGTTCTTCCGCCGCCTCCTGCCAGAGACCCGCTACCTATCTCTGCCGCGTTCAGTGCGCGGCAACCCCTGCGGAGGAGATGTAGAATCTAATGGTACTGTATAATCTACATGTTAGTGTAGAATTACTGGTATATGTAGAAGTAGTAACAGATGTACAAAAAAATGTAAAATTAAAATTATTTTTCTTAATTTTTAAAATTTAAAAATTATAACCATAAATGTATATACTGACTGAGTACGGGTATAAGTAGAGTCGCGTCCCCAGAAGCGACTAGCACGTTCCTTCTCGTTTTGTTTTAAATCGTAAGAATCCTACGATTTGCGATGACCGGAGCATGGCCAATAGATAGATCTGGCTTTCTATTTAGTTAGTTTTGTAAAGAATTTAGTACTAATTATAATTATTGGAACTGTGAATCTCCGCACTAGTTTCTAATTGAAAATGCCTGCGACTTGTGCATTAATCCTTCAGCTTAGGTCGTTAAGCTCTGCTTATCTTGATGCTTGATGTAAATTCTAATTAACTTTGTTACTACTTTGGGCTGTTCTAGTCACTCCATCCACTGTTCGGACAATAACTGATTCTTCCCTTTCATTTCCTATCCGCCTCATATCTGCTCTTCTAATTATTCCTCTTCTGAGGCCTCCTTCCTTTGACACCATCGTTGTCGTTATAGATTTTGCTGAGTCTGCTTTTTTGGTTAATGTGTAGCCTTCTGATTCTGCTCCAGTTGCTCTTGATTCCTGCTGCAGCTCCGGCATTGGCTCCTGCTACTCCTTCTGCACCTTGCAATCAGTGCGTCTTTCGCTTGAGTGCACCGTGTTCCATTGCTCGGAGCTGACTTTGTTATCCTGTCTACGGTGCGTAGTGAATCTGTTGATGCACTCAGTCCAGTACTCAACAGATTCACAGCTGGTATTTATAATTGCTGTGTATTCAGGCTTGCACAGAATGTAACCCCAAGCCCAAGCCCAACCCCAAACCCATCCACAGTGTAGACTGTAAAGTACATCGATTGTTCAGTTAGGTTTCCTAATTGGCAATACGAGCTGGATAATTGACAGTGCTAATTGCCGGGCAGGTTGAGTGCCGCTCATCCATCCCGAGTGCAGTCGATCAATGTGGCAATGCACTTGACTCTGGGTGTCTGGCTTCGAGTGTTCGATGGGATGCCTTGCCCAGGGTTCAAGCGGGAACAATCACTTGATATAGTCAATTTATGCTTTATTGTTTTGTATTTAAGCCTGACCTAAGCTCTTTTCGTTCCCCCTTGACATACTCTTCTCTGTTCCGGTCCGGTCCATGTTATTTGCTTGATTTCGTAATGCACACACTACGCATACGACTCGGTGTATACACACGTGTATATATTCCATAATTAATTGCAGCAGTGCACCTTGGGCCAGTCAGCCCATATTTTGGCATACACTTGAAATATCCATAGAAAAACAAAATAATATTTTAATGCCTACATATTTTCTTGGATTTTAGTTCAGCACTGAAATTATTGCAGGCCATTAATGTTTGATGTTCAATCAGCCACGAGTTGGTGTAAAAAAAAACGGCCAGCTTTTGGCTTGCCTTTGTCAGCTTGTGAATTTCGTAATGGGAAAGAAAAGATAAACGTAAATATTGGCCGGGCTATTTAGAATGTCTATATAAAAGAAAGACTTTGTTCATATTTGTTAGATACGAGAGATAACTTATCCAACTTGCCTGTCTATTGTACCAAAATTTAACCACGTTAAATTAATTTAGAAATTGTGTATTTGCCAGTGGACTGTATCTGATTAAGCTGAAATTAAACTCAGCTAAAATGCATATCATTACAAGCAACTGTACCCAATTTAAGGTCTGCAAGCTAATTTTTCGAATTAATGCCGTCGGATGTCTGGCCCAATGTGCAGTGGCCAGAAATTCGCTAACATCAATGGACGTATCGTGGCGGGGAGGGGGAAAGGGCAGTACAAGCTTGTGTCGGAAACAAGGCTACGTGTACTTAAGCTGGCCAAACAGAAATTACATAAATTGAATTATAAATCCGATTGGACAGCACTTTGCACTGCATTTGGAAAACCATAATGGCACAATGGCTTCAGCCGTACTTATAGGAAAATCTATTTAATGTCGCTCAATTAAAGGCAATTTGATCAATTAGGCGATAGCGTTTGTGCTGCCGGCTCTCATTAGTTTTAATTTGTCGCTTGATTAAACTGCTCGTATCACAATGGAATTAATCGTTCACCAGTTGCATGCCGATGCAGTTTGAATAGTACTTAACTTATTATATTACGTGTTTGTATTTGCTGTATAATGGGAGGGATACTTATTAAAAAGTTGAGAGCGTTTGACTTAGCTTTATGCTGCTGAACTTTAGGATGAGCATTTGATTTTTACGTGCTGCTGTAGAGGCTCTTTTTGGCCTATAATCCAGAAGAGGTGCCACAAGTGAACGTTCAACGAATGTCTCTGGAAGTGGCTTAGTAGAACAGAGGCCAGGGGCAGACCCAGTGCGAGTATCTCAGAGCTATCCAAGATGTAAGAGTAAGGCTTTATATTCTACGAAACGAAAGCTCTCTGAAAACCAGGAAATTTCATATACATTTAATTTTGGGGTACATACAAATCCCTGCCGATTAATGCTTTAAGTTGGCTTTCGACTGGCCAATCTTTTTCCATTATTCTTTTACGCTGGAAAACTCTTTCTAAGTCTGCGTGGTTTCGCTTTTTTTCTGTTTTACTTGCAGTGCCATATGCAACCGATAAGACTGCGTGATTGGTCAAGTGGTGAACAGCTCCGACAGCGGCGGATCAAAGTTGTGGAGGTCGCCATCGCCGCTCAGCGACTGTCGAGAGGTTGATTGAGAAGTGGGAACGAAACCAGCGAAATGGCGGTCGGTCGGGGCAGCAGAGTTGCGGCGATGCCCAGCGATGTCGTCGTTGCCGTCTCGGACAAATGCTGAAGCGGAAACGCAGATGAGGCGCCACACCGATCAATAGCAATCGAACATCAATTGATCCAGCGGACGAACGAACGAACGCACTGCGACGACCATCTCACATCCTCGAGCCAAAAGATATCCGATATCCGCAGTCGGAGTCATCGTCACCGTCGCAGAGGCACAGACTTTCCATCGGACCATCTATCCATCTATCCATCAGCTGACAACTGTCAACCGTCATCCGTCAGCTGTCAGAGCGACTCGCCGGGCGACTAGGCGACTAGGCGACGGCCAGTCCAACTGTCATCGGCAAGCGGAAGAGCAGCGGACCCGGACAGCGTAGCACCGTACAGGACAGGACAGAACCGGACGGTGCAGTGTCGAGCAGTGCCGGACAGCGAGGGCGCAGCGTAGCGTGTAGGCGGCAAAATGCCTGGCGGACGACGTGGACTGGTTGCGCCGCAAAACACATTCCTCGAGAACATCATCCGGCGCTCCAATTCGCAGCGTGAGTATCCTGTTCTCTTCACTGTTCACTGCAATGAATCTCCCTGCTCGTTCAGAATAATCGATAAGGTAGAAGGTTGCGGGGTGGATCTTTAGTTGGCAATCGTATTTGCCATAAAGCGGAGAATAAACCACAATCAAATCACAAGAATGACTGGCTCAAGTACGAGTGTATACCTCTATATATGTATATACTCGCATGTATCGGCTATCGCATGGCCAATGTTTTCTGTGGTCGAACTGCCCAAATGTACCCACACATAGGTTGAGGAGCTGCTGCCAAACTGTTTCGGTTATCGAATAATGTCAATTATTCCAATAATTACAATGCCCGTTTCCACATGTCCAATTATCGTTTCTCGGTTACCTGGCAATGCGGTTGCCTCCGTAAGCCAGCCAGCCAGCCAGCAGGAGGAGGAGGAGGTAGCAGGGGGTAGCAGGAGCAGTGGCAGCTGGAGGCTGCTAAAAGGGGGTGGGCGTGGAGTGGCGGAGAAGTGTGAAATGAATTTTCCGTTAAGTTGTCAGGGCGAAGAGGAAACTTGGGTTCCCTGGAACTGGGTGGAATGTGGAGAGGGCAGCAGGTGGCATGCGTCCGTGCATGGGGCGGAGTGGTGTGGTGTGGTATGTGGTGGCATGGAGGAAAGGACTCCGATTGCTATAAATAGAGCAATCGCTCTGCCGCACCAAACCACACACAACACACCACTGACTGACACACAATCAAAAGGTGTACGTGTACGTGTGCCCGAGAAATGTCCGTGCTGCGAAATTGAATTGTTTTGGTCTCCTGAAACAGAAGCACGAGCAGCAGCAGCAGAAGCAGCAGCAGCAGCAGCAACCAGTCAATGCGGTCAATGGCAACACTTTCAATTAGGGAATGGGGAAGGAGCTCCCACTGGCTCCCTGCCCCCCGCTCCGGCCCAGTGAGTGGATTCGCCTTTGAGGATAATTGTGGTCTAGGCACGGTCCGGGACTGGGAAATACCTGATGCGAATGCGATTGGCCCACTGCATTCAATCCGTCGACATTGGTTTTAACGGGAAAACATGCAGCGGCAGAAGGCAACAGGCGACAGGCAGCAGGCAACATTACGGGGCAGTGACATTGGCCACAGCATCAACAACATGAGCTCATAAATTGCCCACGACCATGGGCAAACAAGTGGACTCCAGTGCACATATTCCATGTCCTGCAGCACACATGGCCATGGAGTGCCATGGCCGTAAACAAGAACTGCAGCAGCAATGGGATAGTTAGCAAATCTGAATCCACGAACCCATCCCTTCCACTTCTCTGCACACCTCCTACTCTGCCTCTCACTCTCCCTCTATGCCACTCTTTCCCCATTTTGGGTCGGGTCTGGTCTGGCAACATTTTTCGGTGCCAGACGACGAGTGTTCAGACTGCAGATAAGGAGCTTATTAGTCGAGGGACAGGGTGACAAGTGACAGGAATGGAATGACACAGACGGCATGAGATACAGATGCAGTTAGAGAAGCAAACAAGATAGAGTGATAGAGACAGAGAATGGGAAGAGGGATTTTCAAAGAAATTGATGCATAAGTGGCGCATAGAATTGGCAAACTGCAGTCAGTCAGAGCCAGTGGATGCCCCCAAAGAAGGCATCAAAAGATGAAAGATAAATGGGGGAAATGGAAATGGGAAATGGGGAGAGGGGAAACATCTCCATTGATCACAAACTGAACCCCAATTATTGGGATTTGTGATCAATGGCATTCACGGGACTGACAGCAAGGAAACTTGACTTTATATCCATGAATTGAGCTTTCGGTTAAAATTCTTTTGATATCTAATCACTGCTGTATACATATACATATACATATACATATACATATACATGTATGTATATGCGAGTATAAATTGAAGTATTTGGCTCCAATCCATTCTGATTAATTGCAGTTCCAGTTGAATTCGGTTAAAGGTCCGGTGTGCAAAGGACGTACTAAGGCTTTTGCGGATTTTTCTCCCCCGAAAATAAAATACTTTGTATATATGCTGAGATGGATTTTATTTTAATAGTTATTTCTGTAAGATATTTGTATTAAATTAGCAGTCGTCTGGCACTTTTTCCGAGCTGTTCTAAAACGTCTTTTTGGAACTCCGAATTTTTCTCCTTTACCAGGCGTTTGTGTGCACAATCCCGTGAAGAACAACTTAAATATCATTACTGTTATTAGTTTTGAATATTTGACTTACCATTCAGGCCTGATTCAGCCCTCGTAGTTCATAGCCAAGCTCTCCTGCCGGTGGCGCCTGCGATTCGCAAAAAAAGTCCGCTGGCCCCCACCCCAATCCGGCAATGATCAGCAGCCCGCTCGATGGACAAAAAGGTTCAGTTGTGTTGGGTTTGTGGGATTTGTTTGTGTGGTGGTGCGGGTTATCCCTGCCACTCAGCTGGCCATTTTGGATTTGAATATGGTTTTAATGCGTTGCCCCCCTGGGTACGCCCTTGCCGGTGTGTCTGCCTTTCAGTTCGATTCAGTCGCTTCATAAGTGCAGATCTCCGGTTCGATTCCCACTCTCAACTGGGTTGATTAAGTTTGTTGAGTCTTCATAAGCTCCTTTTGAGTCAATTTCCAGGGAACAATGGCAACAATCATCGATCGATTTGGGTAGACGTAGACGTAGACCCAAATGAGGCTTTTCAGCTGAGACTTGACAGTTCATGGAGCCCAGCGCAGTCCAGCCCCCACTTGCTCCAGCACTCTCCGCTCTATTAGGCATAGATTTCATATGCTCAGGCGGCTCCTCCACGACTCCTCCTCTTGAGCTGTCGAAAGCGGATTACTCTGAACAGCAGCCGAATGGGAAGACATAAAGCCTTTTCCAAAAGGATTTCGTTTGGCAGGAAAAGTGAAGGGAAAAGCAAAATAAGAGCAGGGACACCAGGGACACCAGGGCGTCAGGACACAGGACTCAGGACTCAGGAAAAGCAATGAGCCAGCTTTTAGCTAGCTGATGGGACTGGTCCATGGACTGGGATGGACCGGCATCGGCATCGGCTACGGCAACAGCACCAGCTCCTGCTCGTGCCGTTCGACTGCTGCTCCGCATGGAAATGTGAGAGCGTAAAGTGAAAATGCCATAAAAGGAAATGCACACAGGCGGAGGAGAATGGAAAATGCCGGGGTACCGGTTGGGTACCGGAGTAATGCTCACTGAATGTGTAAGTGTAGCATATTAAGGCGGGAAATTGCGTTTATACTTGGAGGCCCAGGGCCAGAATGCAAATGTCTGAGGGAATGGGAACGGGAACGGGAACGGGAATGAGAATGAGAAGGGGAAAATGGGTCGTCAGGTGAAGCAATAGATTCTAATGTGATTTTCATGCCAGGCACAAAAAAGTTGAATGATACTCGTGTGTGGGACGCGGCATAGGACGCGGTTCAAGTGGAAAAGGTAAAAACTGACGGGGAAAAACAGCGGGCGGGGCAGAAAAAGGTGGAAAACGAGGAGCAGAGCATTCAAAAGCAGCACAGAGAAGGCCCAAAAAGTGTGTATAGTATGTACAGCACTCCCACATACATACATATATCCTCTCATACCCCGAATCCGTGACAAATACGGTCTCAAATTCGGATTCGTCGTGGGCCAAGGATATTATTTCTTAGGCCACATATAACTTTTTCTTTAACTTTAACCAAATTATACAACCGTGGCAAAAATCAATAATAATGGTTTAATACTTTAAAAATTAACCCTTTTGAATTAATTCTTATATCATGAAATAAAAACTAGACTTGAGGGTCAAATATTTTGATAGCATTATTTCCGATTAGGTAGACTTTGCTTTATTTTAGAGCCTTTGTACAGCTGAGTGAAAGTAAGCCAATATAAAATACAATTTTAGTATTAATTATTCATGCCATTTATGCCCAACTTATAACCTTTAATTTTCCCCGTAATTGGTGATTATTTTGCGCAGTTTTTCGTACACATTGTTTTGGTTCTACCCAAACATGTTATATAGGTTTTTTTTTTTTTTTGTAATTTAATGCTAAGCTCATATCCACGAGATGTGGCGAGCGGGTTACTAAAACCTACAAAAATATTGCGCATCATTTTTCTGTGATTTTGCATGTTCCGACAGAAAACTGCCACCATGCCGAAAACATTAAAAGTCAATAAAAATATATTTCCACATAATTTGTGACGATATTATTTATTTGAAGCTTTGATAACCAATTGACTGTGTGCATCTCTATTTCTTCTCCCCAAATTTAGCTTAGCTACGATAAATTTATTTTCATCAGCTACAGATACAAAGAGTCCAACAGGGATTGTGTAAAAAATATTCATAAATTCGGGACTTATTTTTGCTTTAATACCAAACTTGTTCAGCCCTTAAATCTGTTACATCTGTTCTGCAGACATCGCCTAAATTTATTTATCCATTTATTAATGTTGTAATTGCATTCGCCAAATATGTGAAGAGCCCACATATGCGGCTGGCTATCCATCGGATAAACTTCCAGTTAGCGTTATTTCGGCCAATCGTTCATTGTCGAAATGCAATTTGAGTCGTTCGGCGAGTTTATTCCCTGCATATATTCGTGCATGGACATTGAGAAATGGGCCCATGGAATATGCAAGTACTTCCTCATTTATCTTCTGGGTTTCGCTCTGTTTCGCTTTTTTTTTTGCCACTCTTTTCACCGTCTGCTGTTCATTTGCATAAACCAATTGCATGTTGAAGGCAGCAGACACGAGACTCTGATAAGTAGACCCCTTAAAAGAGCTCCCATCTCAAGTCCTTCCACCAGCCTTTGAGGTGGGGTGGGGATGGCAGGAGGCCAGACATCCATTCCGCCGGCCTGTTTGCTTTGCGTCGATGGCTGCCTCGAAGTGTTTTCCCCCACCGTTATCCCCAATTTGCGCCATTTCGTTAACGAAAAATTCACCAAAGACATAGAGGAAAGTAGCAAGCCAAGCCGGAAAGAAAGAGAGGAAGGAAGAGAAGAATGGAAGGCTTGGAGGATT